CTAGCAAATTTGGCTGACTCAGCACGATTCCGACCTATGTTGGTAATAGTTTGGAAGAACAGCCGAGGTGCCTCACCTCACGTCGGAGAATCTTCCAATTTGAGTGTGGTCTTGAGAGAATTGGTCCTAGACAAGCAATCTTTGTCCATTATTACGTATCATGTTCTACAGATCGTGGGGGAAAGTGCAGAGCGTATGTCTCCCTTGTCGGAAAACCCGATGTCGTGATAAGACCCCAGCCAGCAACGAGAAACTCAATGCGCTGGAAAACATGGAGCCAAAGTCTACATGCAAATAATAGCTCCTAGGTGGTTACAATGAATGCTAGACTACCGATTTCAGATGATACAACATGGCTTCTTTTCTCATTAATGGATGTCAAGCTGGTATAAATAAGGCTAAGTACTTCGCTTCACAATTAAGCTAATTTCTGTTTCCTCTGATGCCGAGCAGATATTTAGCTCGACAATTTTATGCAGTTAGGTCCATGAGTTACCAAAGTTTATTCAATGGGTACTTACCTCATGAGGTTGTACCGAATAACTCACATTTAGGTAATAACAAAATCCTACAATAGATGCATGCGGCATTACGCCAATGACCTTGTGTCAACAAGCCATTTGAAGAGAGCTTTCTGTCAGAAGGGGTGCTCAAACGTCGCCAAGCGTATGCAAAACATAATTTTCAGCTTCGAAACAGTACGCGGTGTGTAGAGAGACATCCAAGAATGTGTTTGATAAATCATAGCCCCTATTCCAAGTCAAGGCTAATCTACTCCCAATGCAAGACCTTAGCCATACGTGGGTGCGTCCACTGGCGTACTTGTCGCTTAGTAACATTCTTTTTTATCAAGCGCTCTTCGGTAATCAAGAAAGACTCTGGAAACCATTCCGGAATAGTTGAACTGCCGTTGCTGGCATTCGCTCCAGAGCCGGTCTCCGATATCATTCGACTGAGTGCGCGACCACAGAGCCAAGCAAAGCACATCCCTTCGCCGTCAAAAGACGCAGAAACCCACTCACTCCCAGTCGAAGTGTTCTTCACAGATCGGCCTGTGACAGACTGAGGGATACGGCCTACAAACGGTCTGGAGTCCACTGAGCTGCCTTCGATGCCAACCCAGACGCGCTTCGTACGACCGTTCCAGACACTGGCATCCGAAGATTGTGGAAAATCAGTTCTCTCGGAACCCCAAGTGTCGTACCCGAAGTGGTTTGGTAGAGCTCCGTTGAGATATGAGGCAGAAAGGTGGAGGGGAGCCCGGCTGTCGTCGTAGGTGTCCACATTGGCGTCATCTCCGTCAATATCTGCGCCGAACATGAACTCTCCATTCCGAGGCATCTGGACAATGTAATCCAAGCCATTTCGATACAGCGACCAGGCACGTCCTCCAGCCAAACTTCCGTTTTCGGTATACGATGGCCACTCTCCGGCTTTGGGCAAGCCGTTGCCTCCAAGCTGGGCACTCATATGCAAGCGACCTCCGCGAATGGCGCCTTGTAAGCCGGGAACGAAGTGTGGTGTCCAAGCGTTGGTCGCATAAACGACGTGCTTGGTTCTTATGCTTCCTCTGGAAGTGTGCACCTCATAGTCTGAAGGACTGGCCGACTCGGTGATGGCAGAAATGTTCAAGGCAGCTGTGTTGGTGTCCAAAGTGAAGTTAGGGTAGGTGCCCAGAAGTGATTTCAGCGCATTGGTGATGAAGCGGTATGGCCAAATTGCACCAGCCATCTTGGTGGTTCCGGTAAGAATTCCAACAGTCTCGGTGAGAAGCGAAATCTAACCATTCTGTGAGTCCCTATACCGAACTTGGTGGACTATGATGACTTACATTGCGAGCTTCTTCACTTTCAAAGATGGACCATTCAGCTCCAACGTCTGGAACTTCATCCTTGAGGGTCTTGACCTGTTCGACAGCTGTTTTCCATCTCTCTTCATCGAAGAAGGCGTCGATGCTGTCCACAACACGAGCTTCTGCAGCGAGTCTACCCTCCTCCGGAAGAGAGTTAGCTGCAGATATCAGCGCGTCCACATGGGCGGAGCGCAGCCTGGTGATCTTGGCGGCTTCTGGCTGTGATACTGCCGTCTTGGCGCCAGCATACTCGGCATAGGAAGACGGTCTGATGTGACCTCCGTTTCTTCCTGTAGCTCCAGAGCAAGCTTGCCGAGCTTCGATCATGGCTACCCTCAGCGGTGTTGAGTTGTTATTCTCCTTGAGCAGATGCCAAGCGATGCTAGTTCCCGACATGCCCGAGCCTATAATAACAACATCCACATCCGTCGGTAGGTGGTCGGACTGATGATCCGCGACTCCCTCCAAAGGGGGAAGTTGCCAGTAGGATATGGTGGGATTGGCAACCGGCAAGCCAGGATCTTGCCCAAGAACCTTGGAAGCCAAGGAAACAGTTACGGGTATGATAAGTTTCATTTCGAACATGAAATGTTGAGGGAGGCGCTACAAAGTTGAAGAATGCTGTGCCAGTCTTTGACCGCACTGTATTCGAAGAGTGAGGCTGCTCAGGAAAGCAGTCGAGAACATTAACACTCTTCCGGTCAAGACTTGTCTAATTTATACTTCGAACTCTTAGGCTGAGTCTTGCATTAGTTTCAACGTTCAATCAGATAATTACGATGTTCCATCGGTGCTGCAGCAATCGGCAGTGCGCCTTGGACCATTCTCGTAACGAACCCACTATACGAAGCTATCTCGCAGTTGGTTGCGCGAATGCCTTCGCGATCATATGAAGTCGAGGGGCAATGTGACCATATACTCGCTCATTTGGCCCGATTGAGTAATGTTATAGGCACAATTTCTTGGCTGATCAGACTTTGGGCCGCGATCCATGTACCGCATTAAGTTGCCCAATTGGGATACCCCACATCCCATGGAGGTCTTCACGCAACCCGCGGGGGATCGTGGCGCAGTTACTACAGCTGTATCTGTTGATGAAGCACTTGACGATTATACTTGATCATAACAATACGGCCGAGGTTGTGAGCTATATCGCCGGAAGAGATATCAGGGGCCAGATTCCACCTTGCCGTTGACCGAGTGATTCAGGCCCGTACGTCGCCGTCATTTCATGGGACCAATCGACCAAGGTCCGAACAAAGAAGGCATGCCCTTCATGCTTTGAAAATCGATAGGAAACCAAGAGGCAAATCGGTTGAGATGACGAAGTACTATTGACTGCATGCAATGGATGGGTTGCTTCTGATATTGGGCACTTTGGTCATGGGACTCATTCTCACCATCCCCTTCCGGAACCGCCAATCGATTTTGAGTGTTTACATATTAGCTTGAGAGGGAAATGCGTTATCTTACAATCAATCCCAACGCAGATGATTTGATACCGGCTGTTTGCGAGGGAACCCCATGTTTGTAGTGTCAAACATGCCACTACATGTCGCAAAGAGATAGAAAGTGGGATTGATACGAAGCGCAAGCATTCGATGTTAAGCTGAAAACATTCAGTCTCGCATGAGAAAGTGGTACGGCTAGTGCGGAAACAACGAACTTGAGTCTGCAATAATGGGATGTGATTACGCGTGCGACAAGTTCCTGCCTTCATAGAGATATCGGTATCCCTTTTTGGCGCACGTAGGGGTAGTTCAAAGCGGGCAAAGTCTCCCCCAGAGGACAGACCTCCTTTCAGAGGAGTAGTACTACAAGAACACGGGCAGTTTGTAAACAAACATCGAAATCAACAAGCCTACCCGAGCCCAGAGTTGTACTCGCGATATCCCTCGTACTTTGGTGCAACGACGTGTTCATGAAGGCGCCTGGCTTCAATGGCGTGTGCTCGACATGCATCGCTATGAGATCCATAAAGGGTTCAGAATGTCTTCTTCCAAAGAATCTTTCCACGACATTCGGTCTTTCAACTCCAATCCATTAGTACATCAAGTGGAGTAAATTCGTCGCCAAAACTGCCATCATGAAGTCATCCATTCTCGCCGCCCTCCTTTCCATCTGCCTTTTCACAACCCACCTTACCGCTTTAGTAACTCGTGCTGCCACCTTGGACCGAAAATGCCCCCTCGAGTCTGACTGCATGGAAAACATATGTACCAACTTCAGTTTCATAGAAAAGGAAGAGAAAGACCCGTTCTACCTCGTTGCACAGTGTAAAAACAAGAAAGGCAACTACGTTTACACCAAGCTCGATCTCAAGAAGTGCATCGCCAACTGGGACGGCAACCTAGAGTGGACACCGAGGTATGATTCCCTCCAAGGTCAAGATGTTTTCCAAAGGAGAGTTTTAGATGGTCATGTTGTGGTTGATGAAACTTTGGCTGACAACAGTACTCTTAACAGGGGCGGTTTCAGGTGCAGTGAATGCGGCGTCTTCCAGAAGTCTGCAGACACATATGTCGGTCTGAAGTGTGAGGAGTGCAAGCCACGTATATTTTGGCTAGAGGGATACAAGTCGCCGTCCATCAATCTCTGTGGGTATTCAATTGCACGATTATTTCAATCATTGCCATGCTGACTGGCGTTGCAGCTCAAGGGATCTGGGTCAGTCAAGACGGCGCTCTCAGCTGTTACGACATGAACGGCGAGTGGTATGTGTAACTCTAGAACAGATCTACGAGCTTCTGGATGTATGGAAACTGTTCAGAGCCCATGAGACAAGAGGCGGCGACACGTTTTGGGGGGAAGACCTCCATGTTGGTCCACGGTTGACTGGAGCTTTAGATTCTCTATCATGGTTGCGTACGGCACCAGCGCAAATTCATATTTAGATATCGGCATCTCGTCTATCAAGAGAGAGAGGCCGATTTGACATTAATCTAATTCAAGAGGTTGTATTGAAGGTTCTCGAGGCGGCGTGGATAACCGGCTCAGCGAATAGGTCAATGGCCATCAGCGACATATCACTCGTGCATCGGGGCGCCTCCCCTCGTTCATATGGGACAAGTTGCAAATACTACACCATATAAAGGACACAGCTAAAGGCGAACAGATGCATGAAGTCAAAGTTCAATATATTCCGAGACTCGGCAATCGTGGCCCCCACGCTGTCAATACGTAGTCAATCATTGTCTTTATTGCCGTTGATCTACTCGACGGCATGTTTTCTAAGCTCTCGATCATTTGCACGCTATCCTCAACGCACTGCTCGTTTTAAAAACACAGATTGAGTAACTATTCACCACGCTATGCAAGTCGCTCATCAAAATAAGTAAGGTCAAGCTTCACCTTGATATGAACTCTTTGGTAACCTTCCAGTTCGCCGCTCCAGCCTCTTGGGGGTCCATAAATATCGTCACCCAGCTACCTCGCCTCTGTTCATTGTCAATCAGAGCGTTCTTGATCCTCGCATGCTCCGGAAGGCCAAAGGGTGGCTCGAGCTGGTAGGCGCCAAAATTACCAACGCTCCCGGATGATGGCGTTGATCCCGTAGACGCAGACCCGGGCGTCAGGTGGCTATCCAGCATCAGATCATTGACAAGACTCCGCGCTCTCTCGTACTCCTCATTTTGTTGCGAGTTTGTGGCTTTGGGAATCTGCGGGTATTGGAATCGAGGAACGGGGTAGTCACACTCCATCCCGGATTCCATCTCCGCCGGGAAGAGGCCGGTCGGCACGCCATCGGACCCCTCCCAAGACGCCGTATCCCAACCAGCTGTGATGTCAAACGCCTCCTCGCGGTAACGCGCCGCCTCCTCCTCGATATTTATGCAGCGCTTGCCGATCTCAGCCAGCATCTGGGCATCCCATAGGTTCTCCCTCCGATTCGTCACAGCGTCTTGCTTGAGGAGATTTACGGCAGCTCGCCGCAGCATCGGGTGCCGACATTTGATGCTCACGTAGTAAAGCGGCGGGATGACCTCGGTGTCGAAAACAAACTTGGGCATCGACTTGGCGGCCTCAGACGGGTCACGAACCGTCTTGCGTGTGGCTTGTACAAACTCTGCCGAACTGCTGACAATGGACGCAAAGGCCGTGGTGTGCGTATCGAAAGCAATCTCCTTGGGGTCCATGGCCGTACTGATTGCAATCCTGGCTGCGTGGTAGTAAACCATGCACAACTTTCGTTTGCTCAGGTTGTCGTCAGTACCGGTGGCTGAGACGACGACAAATGCAATGTGCCATCGTGACAACCGTGCGAGAAAGTCGTCTTGTTCATGGGCCAGGTCCAGCAAGGTAGGGTCGTCTGGCTGGCAGGAATATACGGCTCTCTTGGCCTGTGCCGTGAATCTCAAGCCGTCATCGATAAGTTCGTATAAAGACACTTCGGCCTCGTCTACGGATGCAAAGTATAGACTCGTTGCTGGACTCGATTGAAGGGTGGCGGGTATGGCGGCGGGGAAGCTTCCAAAGAGGAAAGATGCGAGGCCAAGTCGACTATAGATAGGCACGAAATGCTTCTTAATCATATCCACATCGGCAGAGGGCTCAAGTTGTGACAGAATGGTGCGGCCTTGGTTGATGTGTACTTGGGATGCGCCCTCGTCGCCAAGCATAAATTCGATGCATATGAACAGCAAGCATGCTAGGAGCGGGACGGTGGCCGGCGATGATGCTGTCGGTTTCCACTCCTGAAGGCACTTTAAGGCCTTGCCATATTGCTCCGCTGCAAAAGTGTTGGTAAGCATACGAGGGCTGTTTGCTTCTTCAGTAATTGGATCCGAATTTGAGGGCAGCGCGAGTGTTTCATGCAGACTGCTGATGGCGAGGACGGCATGGCGAATGGCGGGCTCGGCGTGACAAAAGTGCGGTACCAATTTCTTCCACAAAGTCGAGGCGACTCCGTCGCTGAAGATGGATGGGGCGGAAAAGTTGCGATAGAAGTCAAATGCGCGCTGCTCCCTAGAGCCGCCGGCCCAGTCGGCAAAGGCTGAGACTGCCGGGCTCAAGCGAGAAATGCTGTCGTCGGAACCGGGACTGCCATCATTGCTGCTCCCCGGCTTCGACGAGGGTAAATAACCGTCACATTTCCGGCCTGTCTTGGTGCAGCGAAGGCATGCGGGTTTCGTCTCGTCGCATTTGACTTTTCGAATCCTAGGCGTTTAGACGACGGGTTAGCAAGAAAGGTGGAGAGAAGTTAGATGATAGTAAGCTGAACACATAGGGCTGGAGATGGGATGGCAGATGTAGTGATGAGATTGATAGGGAGGCTCGGACTCAACTTGCAGGTCACACATCCAGTCCGAACTTTCTTGGTGCCCTTCCGGCCTGAGGGGACCTGCAATGACGCCGGCGGCGTGCTTGCTGGATCTTTGATTTGCGGGTCGTCTGGCGTGCTCATGATGCCGAGCTCCCGTAGGTCCGCAGGGACAGAGGTCGAGTGGATAGTACTGTATGTTCCTGGACTCAGGGCTGGCACGGCTGATTACTGATGGAGCGGCGTTGGGACTTTGGTGTCGTTGTTCTGCTGTTGGTCTGTGGTGTTCTGTCTCTTTGGATCCGAGGTGTCAAGTCCGAGTCTAGCAATCACGGCCAAGGGTGCCTTTTAGTGTATTGCAGTGAAACCTGCGACCTTTGTATATCGTTCTGCACGGAGCAGTCTTTGGAATCAATTGATGACGGTGACCCCCTTGCAACAAGCTAGGTCTACAGCAAACACAATGAGGAGAGAAACCCGTAACCGTGGGAAACCCACTCCCTGGCGATTTGAGGTGATGGAAGCGAGATTTTCGCCCAAGCCGAGGTGTAACAGGGTAGCAGGTGAGGTAGATACGGATCGGAGACTGTGCTCTGTTGAGCCAAGCTTCTCAATTTGTAGAGACAATCCCGTTGGATTCCCAGCAGTTGTCGAACGAGAGCTCAGAGAATGTCTCTGCCTGGAGTTATGGTGACGGTCGCGACATGGGGATAGCGGATACAAATCGACGGTCGACAAGGTGAGGTGGTCATGGTAGGTCGGGCACTGGGAAAGGTAACGTAGTCTGTTTCCGTAGGAGGTAATCCAAGGATAGTTTGGCTAGTGGCCTTTCAGATGTCAGCCCTGTCACTGCCTCAGCTGCAGGGCCGACGTCCCATCGTGGTGAGATGCGCCAGAAGAGGTGAAGTTGTGGGTGTGTGGTTGTCTGATTGCACTGCATTTGGGCGACTCGGGTTGTGGAACAAATGGAAGGAAGCGGCTCAGCCCAGAATTCCAGACTGCAGACTGCACCTTCCTTCCAGGTTGTATCCGTAGAAATGCGCCGTATTCGTGCAGGGGAAGGAGCAGTTCAGCAGGCCACACAGGGCGCACCTTCTTCTGCTGGGAGGACCAAGGTTCACAGGCCACAACGGCGCATTACCCACTTTAACGGGGCTAAGTCGCGGGTCGACGCGTCTCTGATTCGCCCCAGATCTCGGACTATAGTCCCGAGCGGACCAATCGCTGAGCTGTAGTGGGGCTCCGAGCCGGCCCCCGCAGGATCCCACTCGGTTCAGCGGTTTAGCGGTGCGGATACGGGGGGGCGCCCGTTGATCCCGTTGCCTACGGCCCTGTTTCTTCTTTTACCCATCCTTTGCCATCAACGCCAATCAAGGTATCCGTGATTCCATATGATATTACCGTACCAAGAGAGCCTCAAACCCTGTCATTTTATCATACAGTCACTGGCAAATACCGGCCAAGCTACCGTCTGACTGGCTCAGTGGCTCGGTTCCTTGCTGCCTTGACGCCGCACCCACTCTTCAGCCCAAACGGTACGCTAGACCCAGACGAACGGGTCTCTTCTCAATCCATACCCGGTCTTTGTGTCGCCCTACGGGCCTACGGCCTTGTTGCCGCATCCCAATTCCCCCGTCATCCCAGCACTTCCTCTCTCCCACATACACTTGTCACAGGGTTCATCGATTGGAAGGCCAGAGGTTGGTGGCTGAGCACAGGCAACACAGGCCAATATCCCTAGAATTAACCTTAATTTGACCAAAACCATGCCATATAAGCTGCCGCCTCCTCCCCGCTAGTATAGCGTCTGTCTTGCTCATCCTACCAGACGCTATGGCTGTTGATCGTCTGTCAGACGGGCCGTGATTGGCGATGCCGGACTTTGAAAGGCTCTGTCCCGAGCTTTGGAGGGCTCAATGTTGCTTGCTGGAGCTTTATGTCGCGCATCGTCGTGGCTTAGTCTTCATCATAGTCTAAGACCCAGGAATAGCTTCTGCCTAGCTACTCCTGGGGCGTCGTAGGGCAAAATACTCGTACAGACGTTTTAGGAATCTTGGTCTTGTTGAAACGATATAATGGAGTCTGGATGGGCGACTTCGAGAAGAGCTTCCTCTTAACGAGATAACTCAAGTTCACAAATCTTCCTAGTGTATCGTTTCCCACTCACCATCCGTGACTGAGCATATCTCGAGATGGTGCTCAAAACCTCACTCCTTGCCCTCGCGGCAATTTCTTTAATCACTGCCTCCCAAGCCAATCCCTGCCCGCCATTAGGGCGGACGTTACCCTCCACCAAAACACCAAGCAACTCGACAATAGTACAAGAAACCATCCTCAAAATCCAAGAAGGCCTCGTCAACTTCACCTCCGTCCTGAACTACACTGCAATCTCCATTGGCGTCAAGTCCATACACGAAGATGCGCCACTCTTCGATTGGCACTACACCCCTCCTGTCGCAGATAATCGCAGTGTTGCAAGGGTCGATATCGACACCGTATACCGAGGAGGAAGCATTACCAAGGTCTTCACAACCCTCACGGCTCTGAAGAACTCGCAAATCAAGGGGACCGATCCCGTAACCAAGTACTTGCCGCAACTCAAGACCGATGCCGTGAAGAATGAAGGGCAGCTCAACTTCATCCCGTGGGACAATATCACTATTGAAGACTTGGCTTCTCATGTCTCCGGACTGGGCGGCGACAGTAAGTTTACTCCTCGTCAATCTCCCTCAACGCTGAAATACTAAAAGTGTCAAGTCGCCACTGACCTCGCCGTCTTCCCCGGCGCCTGGGCATCAATGGGTCTTCCACCTGTGTCCAACGACACCAAGCCGACTTGCTCCGGTCTCCTCGGCACCAAGCCCTGCTCAGGAAAAGGTAAGCCATAGTCCCAATCTATACAATCCCACGGCAGGCCCCTGACAGCATACAGACCTCCTCCACGGCCTCAACGAGAAACCCCTCGTCTTCCGCCCACACACCACTCCCGTCTACTCCAACATCGGCATCGCCCTCCTTGCCCTCGCAGTTGAAGCGGCGTCCAACCAAACCTACGAAACCATCCTCACCGACACCATTCTTAAGCCTCTCGGCCTGACCAAGACCTCCATCGCCACACCGTCAAAGGGCTCAGGCTTCATTCCTCTCCAGGAACCCACCTGGGGCGGTGACCTCGGCGCATATGCTGCTGCCGGCGGCATCTACACAAACACCCGCGATATGCTGACCTTCGGAACCGCGATTCTCTCCGACAAGATCGGCATCGACACAGGTTCCTGGTTGAAGCCACGCGCCTTCACCTCCTCCCGCGGCTACTCCATCGGCGCACCCTGGGAGATCTGGACCACTTCCACTCTTCTCGACTCAGGCGTCCCCGTCAGCATCTACACCAAGTCCGGCGACCTCGGCCTATACACCAATGTCCTCCTCCTCATCCCCGACTACAACCTCGTCATCTCCATCCTCACCGCTGGTGCCGAAGCCGCAGGCACCTTCCAGTTCCCCTCTCAAGTCATCTCCCCCGTCATCCAAGCCCTCATCCCGGCCCTAGAGAAAGCGAACAAGGAGCATGCGGCCGCAATCTTTGCAGGAGTGTACATCGACGAGGAAACAAACTCGACACTAACACTATCCGTCGACGACGGCCCAGGCTTGTCTCTGACGAACTACACCGTCCGCGGCTTCGACGTGCTCTCTCACATTCCCAGCTACGGCGTCGGCTCCAAGATCCAGGCTTTCAACGTCAGCGGCAGGGTCTTCCCCACCAACATCAGAGAGGGCGACCAGTGGTCATGGCGTGCCGTGTACAAGAACCACGACGAGCCAGACGTCGGTGACAAACTCGTGTACCCCGACGGCGACTGTCAGACATGGGGCTTGATCGATCGCAAGACCTACAACTACCTCGCTTTGGACGACTTCACCATCACCATTGCCGAGGATGGGTCGGCCGAGAGCATTTCGCCGCGACCATTCGGCGTGACCCTGAAAAAGGCGTAGGCCAAGAGGCCAGCAATGAGTTAAGAGCGTCATCTCAAAGACGAGAATGCATTGCCGTGACCAGCGTTTGATTGATTTTACCCGGACAAACATACCTTAGACACCACTTAGATGCAACTCGTTACTTTGAAATTACCCATTGATTGATTTTCTGTCTACCACGACGCCATGCCATGATACCTCGAGAAACAAAAGAGGCCGTCTGCAAAGTCCAGAATGCACTGCTAAAGCCCTTGACCCTTGACCTGGTATACACTAACAAAACCAACGAAAACGAAAACGCCTGGCAACATGCCAGAAGAGTTAAACACACATTGAAGAGAAATACCGCGAACACCGCCGCGGGCGCTCACATGAGCGAAACCCTTTCCCACGAACCCACCGAGTTCGTATCCATATGAAAGCCCTTTGAGAACCATGGGTGCTCAATCGCTCACCCAAACCTAAAACAACATTGGGATTACCAGAAGCTGCACCATCCTATGTAGTGCTGGCAGAGGTTCTCCAACTTTGTCGCCTCCGTGATGAGCTTGTTGACCTGGTTGATGACATCAAGCTCTTCGTTCGGCTTGAAATCCTTGCCAGTCAACTTCTGAGAGACGCGATCCAACACCTCGACGGCCCGAGCATTCTGGATTTCGGTGGGGTCTGGTCCGTTGTTGCCATTAACAACACTGCCCTCGTGCGCCATTGATGAGTTTGTTCTCGACCGGGAGCGCGCGACGGGTCCCCCGGGCATACCAGGATCTCCTGTGGCAAGCAGCTCCGACGGTGCAACGTCTGCGTCGAGGACAGAGGGACGGCGTGCTCTGGCAGCTTGCGGGCCAGCAAGCGAAGTCTCGCGTTCAGATCGGAAGTTCGGTCCCGCCGGACTGGCAGCATTAGTAAGGCGCCAGGTCAGGAGAGGATCGTGAATGAACTGCGATGCGATTAGCTTAAGGATTCAAGACATGGACTGGGAGAAAAAAGCATACCGCTTCCAAGACAGCCATCACGCTGTCCTTGTTGTCTCGCAAGACTCTCATGACATGCTCGCAGGTGATACGGAAGCTTCCCTCGATGTTGCTGACTTCCATGGCGTAGGTGAGCATGCGGGTCAGTCGGAACGGCACGCGCTCTGGGTACTTCTCGCGTTTCATAGCCACTTCGAAGCAGTCGCCAAAATCGATGTGGATAATCTTGCCCGTCACGCGGTCGAGCATGAGGTTGGACGGATGACGGTCACCAAGACCGAGAACATATCCCACCATCGACATGACGCCCAAAGAGCGTGTGTAATTGGTGCGGCGCTCCAGCCATGCCTCTGAACTCTTACTCTTAAGCCACAATACCCGATAGAGATCCTGGCCAGTAGTATTGTCCAGTGCGTAGCCGAACACTTCAACCTTCTGCATGAGAGTGAGGTTGTCGTAGTCGGGAGCCATCTGGAGCATGATGCGATGCTCGATATTAAGGAGAATCTTCCTGCTTTCACGGTATTCCCTTATTAGCACGTGAAGAGTGTCACTGTTGGGCACCCAACCCAGCAGACCCGAGTTTTGTGACAAGGGGATAGCCGGGTATCGTTGGATGTTCAAGTGACGCTTGTAACATTCAGAATCGTTCGCCAACAAGGTATTGCACAAGCCGAACAACTGCATAACTCGTTCGTCTTGGCGAATATCCTCGTGGCCCTTGAGCAAAAAGGCGTATGAAACACCATCGCTGCCGCTAATGTTGAGCTTGCGAGGCCTCTGCTTACTATTAATAACAGTGAAGGTACCCTCAAACTCCATGATGCGGACAATGGGTTGACCACTGCGGTAAGTTCCAGGCACAGCGAGATCAAGATCCTTGGCGGCCAGTAGCTTGGGCGAGCAGTAAGGCAGCTCAAGCGTAGTGAGCTGGGGCAGCTGTCGTGAGATGCGCCGGAACACTTGATAGTAGAGATCCCAAGCCTGATTGAGATCATTGACGTCTCTGCTGGCCTCGTACTGGCGGCACCATTCGCGAGCCTCGGTGAGATCTCTGCCAAAG